ATTAATTATTAAAGAACTTAAAAACACTATTAAATTATTACTAAACTTAGGTTATGAATTATTCTATTTATTTACACTACTGTTGATATATCACTATTCACTGCTATCACTGTCAATTTATTTCCGGATTCACTTCTGCAACGGTCAATTTATTTCTTCCCCCTTTCGGCGATCGTCTCTTCCTTTAAATACTCTTTTGTTTACTATCGGGAACCTTCTGGAAACGTCCGGATAGTTTATTTCTTCTTTGAACTGTTTAACTGCTTTCCTAGAACGCAGGTACGACACACATTTACAAATACGGCGCACACAAAGAAAGGCGCCCGCGGCTAATCGGCAAATCGATAAGCCGTTCACGCACACGTATGCCCGATCGCACACAAACAAACTCGTGCTCGCTACGATACTATAAACCGTTTTATTTATCGTAATAAATAATAATAGTAGAATAATAAAATTATTTACAGTTTCTTTGCTTATATAGTATTAACCTGGTTTTAGGTCAATAAAAAGTGTTTTTGTTTTCACGAAATTACATTAAACGGAAATAATTCAACAGGAAATATTTAATGAAAAAGCCTTAACAAAGGGCAATTAAATTTTTGCAGTCGTGTTATGCTTTAAAGAAAAGCTAATTCGTTTATACCCAAAACATGCTGCACGTGAAAACCGTTATAAATAATTCACGGTAAGAACAATCGCCTTTCTTCCACGATTGTAAAAACATTTCTTTAGCTCGTTCAAAATAGCAAAGTACATGGGTGTTTTAGGTAACATAAACAAACCCGGGGAAAAGTCGGTCAATTTTCATCCAACAACGATCAAATTTGAAGTCAGCAACAGAGCGGAATGCTTTTGCATACTTCATAAAGCCCTTTGAAAATGTTTGCCAAAAATCGGCGAATTATGAAGAGAGAACGGAAAAAAAAAGAAATTTAATATGAGAACATTTCCTACATTAAAAAAGAAATTGTTACAAAATTAAGGGGAAAAGATGAGAATTTTTAATTGCCGAATCATCTTCATAGGATCGTTAGTTCTGACAATCATTCATGTGAAGAAACTGGATTTCTGGATTCTAACCAGATCTTATCGATGAAATCTCCATGATCCATGAAGTGTTCGACGTTTCATCACTTATCATAAGGGATATCTTTAGGAACGTCACGTTATTGATGTAATATCTTCAACACTGTTACTGAATTTATTCGGAGTTAAAAAAAAATCTTTTGGGTATTTTATTCCCACCAGCCACTAATGCTGTTGGACGGGCAGTCCCTCCGGACTACGCCGGAAGGTAGGGCGGAAGGCCCTCTTCAGCCTCCTTTCAGGAATCGTGGGAATGGGTGGGTGGTTGTTCGGGTAAGAAAGCTGAGACGTCCTCCCGAATGCTAAGCAATGATCTAAACCTCTAGGCCATGCCGCTCGGTGACTCGGAGTCTTCTCACATCTTCCAAGCATCAAGTTTACAATGGAGCGGGAACACAAAAGAAAACTGGTCTTGCCAGATGCTATGGTGTTCCACTGGTCAGATGACGCCTTGAAACACACTGTTCACCAACTCTAACACATATCTCAATGCGAACTATCATCATTATCCGGCACAGAAACACTCTACTCCTATAGTGTATAGGGCTTTCGCAATTTGCGAACCAAAATCTTTGACGGGCATCCAAGACCACCGAAGAAGTCCACATCATGTTTGCCATTTATCAAAGGAGTCAATGGCAAAATCGATGGAATTGTGCAGAAGGAAGGCGCCAAAACAATCTTCAACATTTGTGGTAAACTTAGCGACCAGCTTTTGGTAGTGAAGCATATTGTTCCGCTGGAATCTGAGGGATACCGTTCTCTTGTGGAAAGGTCTACATCGAGGAAACATGTAGATACCTCGCAACAAGGATGAAAGAACATGAGAATACGACATTCAATTCGGTCAGATAAATATACTAATCTGATTGCCACAACTTCTTTGGGTCATCAAGGAAGCACTTGAGATCTACAAACATCCGAACAATCTCAACAGGGAAGATGGGTCCACCTCGAGTTAGGTTGGACGCGGAAGTATGTCACTGTCAGAAGATTCCAAGCGATTTCAAGGACAGAAGATGTCCCATGTGATAAAATATGAAACGCCGAAAGCTTGTGATGCCACCATGATCAACCATGGAGATTTCATCAATAAGACATGGTTAGAATTCGGAAATCCATGTTCATCAGACGACAACCGTGAAATCAAATTCTAACCTTTCATATCACAGTGGCTGTTCTGTCATTCTATCTCTCCTTTTTGTTATTGACTTTTATAACTTATCTCCTACTCTTTCTAATATCATCTCATTCCTAAACTTTTCTAGCCGCGGTATACGTCTTTTACCTATAACACCACATTTCAAACACATCTAACTTTCTCTTTTTGAATATCTAAATTAACCATGTGCAAGGACAGTGGTGATTTCTTTTTATTAAAGGTGACCTGATACTTGCACTATCCTTTGTTTTATATGTCTACAATCCCTTCCATCCTAAGTTATTTGACGTCCTAGATATCGACACTGAACGACTTCTTCTAATGTTTCTAATGTCCTTTCCATTTCTATTTCGAGATACACTATCTGCAGTGCCAGCCTGATATCAGGTCAGAATTTCGTCTATTTTCCAGTAACCAGTTGAAGCAACAAATTTATGGATTTGGTACCGAACTAGCAACAAATTATATTGCACTTTAGAAATAGGAAATAAGGAAAAGAGGAATATAGTATTGTAGTATTACCTTGATATACGTCTCTAACTCGACATACATACATCAAAATTATATACTTTCGAAAATTTCGCAGTAATTTCTTAAAAGGATTGCCAATTTAAGTTAAAAAAAGTTCCCACCCCTTACTGTGGAGGGTATATCCCTAGAATGTCGGAAAACCACATCCACAGTTTACTCGACGGTGTTTTTTCTTATTTATTTTGTAAAGGAGGAGGCTCCGGCGGAAAAATGCCATCAGTGCAAAGATGTTCCTCATAAAACTTTAGATGTGAAAAATTATATGTCATATCGTTAACCCACACACTTTTCTTTCAACGAAACCTTATTCAAGTGAGGTGAATTTTATCCTAACACAGGAAAATTGCTATTTTACTGAAAGTATTACTAAACCGGACATTCTACGTCAAAACTTTTTGGAAATAAAATTGACTCAGCATAAGCCTCATGTAAAATCGGTTCCGGTCAAATTGACGGCAACTTTCGAATCATTAGTTGACGCCAAAAATTAAAAAGTTTCTAAGCTACGGGTCAAAGTAGGGCACGATTTTCAGTCTATCCAATGTATACTGGCAGGATATTCAATCGATTATCTCTTCAAGTCCTCAAGGTATATAGAAACGTTTAATACCTGCAAAAGTTATTGGATCTAAAGAGGAAAACGCAATGGTGACCTTTACCGAGATTTTGATAACTACACCAAGATCAAGTGCATTTCTGAAATGGCGTTGGATATAGATGAGGTAGTCAATAATTTTAGTAGGTATTGAACATTTCTCTAAAGTATTCTACGGCACCCAAAGAGATAATCGATTAAATGTATCCTATCAGTTAAAATACATTAAATAGCTTGACAATCGTAAGCTATTTCGATGAGAACTTTTAATCAGAAACTCATGCATAACATCATACTCCAACTTCAACCAATTTGACTGGAGTCGACTTTCCATAAAGATCGTCTGC